AGTATGCTAAACTAGAGAGAGAATCGCTGGCAAGGGGGCTACAACTACAACAAGATGGACATATTTGACCGTGATTTAATTGTAATACACGTTTCAAAATGATGCCGAAGTAACAACATACTGATACCGGTTAGTAAAAACCATGAATTAATGCTTTGACAAGTCTGCAGACAGACGGCAGGCGAAAAACCTTTTAAAATGCGTGTTTTCTAAATGGAGATTGGCTAAGCTAACGCAGTATATGCTCCGACCGTCCACACTCACAACAACGGCCTATACAGACATAAATAAAGCAGCGACTGTATTCGCCATGACACAGGCAGTCTGTGGTTTGTACTTGTTTAACTTTTGTCTAATTTCTGAACATATATGAGGAGCTGTGAGCTCTGAGTGCTAACAGCTAACGGCTGTGTTGTTTTTCTGGGGTTCTCATTGAAGATGACGTCACGGCTCCGCCTACACTGCGTTACCATAGATACTACCCCAGTTCCTAAACTGTAATGGAAATGCGCCATAAAGTGAGCCAGTCCTAACGAGGCCTAGCCATACCGAGCGAGGCCGAGCGAGGCCGTGTAGTGGAAATGCGCCATAAGAGTCTCCTGCCATGCTGGTGGTTGAGTGAGACTGTTTTGCATAGCACTGCTTTGAGGCAAATGCTCACACTACCATATAATACTGAGATGAGTAGAATGACAATGATAGCATGCTAATTATTGAGCAGTTTTTAAATGTCCACCATCTCATTTTAGCATGTTAAAATCTGATAACAAGCACTTCTTCACTGGAAGAGCACTTTATCATGTTGTATCTATACCATAGAGCAGGGGTCTCAAACTCAAGGCCCGGGGGCCAAATCCGGCCCGCGACTTCATTTTATGTGGCCCCGCAAGAGCTTGCAAAGAATATAATAGGTTTATTATACGGTTACAGAAGCAGGTTGCCCATCAACTACATGTCCCACAATGCATCTCGTTTTGTGACATGCGCACTGAAGAGACTTGCAATTATTTGCCCTGGACTTCTGCTTTCAGACGTAGTTAATTACTAAGTTATTATCCTATCCGATAATAATCCAATTCAGAGGCAATAATGTAATATAATACATTATTTTATATATATATTATATATTTATATAATTACAACCGGCCCTTTGAGTGTAACCTTTATGCGAATGTGGCCTGCGATGAAATTGAGTTTGACACCCCTGCCATAGAGTATACAAGAGGACACTATTTTCAAACACGTCAGCACCCTGAGTCCATCAATTGCACCAAACATAAAAAGCTGTGGCTGTGGCTAAAGGCAATTTCCATTTTCACCTGATGATGCGCTACTTCAAATGTCAAGGGGTCACCAACGTTTTTCAGTTTATCCTGATGGGATTGTACCACATTTCATTTCAATCCTTGCAATAGCTGAGACTATAATGTCTTGGAAATCCTTAAAAAACTCATTAGTCACATTTAATTTTGCTTAAGGAGGATATATTATATTCATTTTCAGGTTCATATTTGTATTTTGTGCCTCGATTGTGAGATGTTTAGTCTTCTCATACTGCCTGTGCTGCAGCACCTCTTTTCACCCTCTGTCTGAAACCAGAGCCCAGTCTGCTCTGATTGGTTAGCTGGTCGGCTCTGTTGTGATTGGTCAACCGCTTAGAGATGACCCGCCACTTAGCCTATCACGTACAATGTGTTGGGGCGCTAACGTGACTGTTATGCAGTGATGTCACAATGTCATGGAAGTAAACTAGAACTACAATTGAGGCGTTTCAGGCGGGAGGAGCGTCTTTGGGAGAGTTGACTCTTTGGGATTTTAGCCTTTGCAGACCCTTTACATGCACACAACCTATAACGCACTACAGGAGAGGGACAACTCAAAAGAGCATAACAGGGCTTCTTTAACTTTGCTTTTAATCTTGCTCAGTGACGCTGAATCTCATGAGAAGTTATTTGCAAATGTTATATTATGAATTATATATCCAGAAACATGTTGGATCCTGTATATTACATGATCTTTTCGGCATGAAGAAATACAGATATAAATGTCACATTTGTGTATTTCACACTGATTCTAAATCAGTGGGTGCTGAAAGCTGTTCTTATTCTTAGCCTTGCACACAACATATCATTTATCTCTGATTACTGCACGCCCGCAGGCAGAATCCCTGCTTGTGCTTTTATATCCCACCTCTAGATATCACCGGAGCCTTTCCCCTCTGCAATCAGACCATTGGGACAATTCACTCATTACATCTGAAGCCCCAGAGCTGCTTTAAAGCCTCCCTCAGTACCCGTCCGTTTCTCTCACTACTTCATGAAACCTCACATCTTCCTAACCCCATACTGTGATGGTGGCTCCCGTCTCCTAGCAACCAGCCCTCTTAGAGGAGGTGACAGAATTTGAGTGGGCACCCTCACCTCTCCGCATCCAACCCCTTCCCCCCCCCACCTCCCTCACCCTCACACTTCCTCCCCGGATGCTCTTCAAGTCAAGTAAACACGTCTCGCTCTGTGGTGCAGTCGGCTTCGTGCACTTATGCATTGGGGTCACTGTATTTAAATGGTAATGAGCCTGACATTTGTTGAACTTCATGCATCAATATTTTAATCACAGTGTGAGTAGCTTCTAGTAAAACCGGTCATAGTATGACCCCGAAATGACTTTTCCGTGCAGGGTATCGGCCATAGCCAACATCTTCGTCAATGCCATTTTTAAAATGTTGTTAGTCCACCATCAGTTACAGTCATAGTAAAATAAAGGTAAATGTGTTTTTGCATAGGCCTACTTCTGGTTTACTAATGTGCAAGTCAATTTTTTTTATGTCAGGTGTCTGAAATAAGGTCTGTGGTGGTTAATTAAGCTGGATAGATTTAAACTTGATGTTCCACAACATAAATTACATCAGTAAAGAGCCAAATTGTGAATTTCTATATCTTAAGAACGGTGTTTGCTAACAAGCTGCTAAGTGAGATTTCTAAACTTCATCCCGCCAAATATTAGCTGCTTTTAGCTGTCATGTGACCGTGCTGTAGTGAGTTTATTGGCCATTCCTAGCATTTCATTTATGAAGATTGCATTGACGCTTTAAAAATCATAATATGTGGAGATTATTCTGCTGAAAAAGACATGTATATCATAAATGTTTGTTTGCCACGGAGCCTTTTTTAGTGCAATATTCAAGTATCCAATGGAAAAATGTCATAGTCTTTTTTTCAAGGGAACCATCATCCAGCATGCTCGTATATTAAAAACGAAGCTATCCAACAGCTCATTGGAGAGTAATATTCTGTATTGAGAAGCCACTTTGGTTGTGGAAAGGAACATTTTTGAGGATTTCATTGCGTTTCGATCAAGGTGTTGAAGAAAATGTTCATAGTGGCCAAACGGTGGAAATACAACTTTCAGTCAAGTGAACCCATTAGACTTTTTACGTTGACTTACATTAGGACAGAGGCATCTGTAAATCAGTGTAATGTCTTTTTTTGAGGTAACTTTGCACCAATGTAGGAGGAATGTTTCTAAAATACACCGTCCTAGCTTTAACTTGTAATTTGTTGTCAGGTGATAAGTTTTTATTTAGATTCAGAATAAGTTACCAGGAAATCCAAATAACATTTGTTTTAAAATGTCTTGCATAGTTTTCAGAGACGTATGCGCTTGGCGATTGCAAAGTGATGTAAAAAATATGCATAACAGCTGTTGCTTTTTCTGTAACTAAAGTGGCAAAAAAGGTGCCTATTAGCAAGTTGTACTGTAATCTTTTTTTGGTAAAACTCTTAATCAAGTAACTAAATAAAACAATAAGTTAAAGGGAGCTATCTAACTTTTGAAAAACCACAAGTTGACAATGTTAGCTACCTTAAGCTAATGGTCATTATGGTCCAGGCTGTGTTTAATGAGCCATAGAAAAACGTATTCTTCGCACCTTTTAAATGTGTTATGGATAGCGTCCTTTAAAGGACCTCAAACACTTAAAGGTAGAGGTAAGAATGGAGAAACCAGCTCGAGTGCGCTAGAATTGGAAACTACGCAGCCGAAACAAATCTGTCCCTTCCTTCAGACTTCCTTACAGAGCCCCTCCTCCAACACACACTGACGCGCACATGACCAATGAGGGCACGAGATAAGTTTGTGCACGAGATGGAAGGCTGACAGGCAGGTAGACCATCCAGTTATTTTAGCCGGGCCGGTGAAAATAATTGGTCGTGCTTTTTACAGCGCCACGGCTTCCACAGATGACATTTTTTTATGTATTTATTGTCAAAGCATTTCATGTATTCATTGCTATCGGGATGTTAAGAGCATTCCATGGAATATAACAAAAAGTGTTTCTGAAGTGAATTACCTACCCCACCTTTAATGTTATCTAGGTAGCCCTAACATGTATGGCTATGATATGTTGGCCATGACTGTACTTGAGTGCAAATTCAGTTTGCAAGTAAGAGACATTTGAGCCATTAAGTCAGTGATTTAAGAGAACATTTTTGGTACTGTGCATACATTAAGACAACATTAAGAAATATTAAAAGATTTTGTCTTTATTGAGTATTGCAAGTATTGCATTGCCTCTTATTGCCTGATATAAATGTGCATATTTCATATGGCTGCACATATACCAATTATTCGTCAGGGATTCAAGTAAAGGTCAGAGACTTTAATCTAGATTTTAATTATGAGCGATAACTTAACCCTCTGAGGTTTTTGAATGTAAATCCCATCAGGCTGCGCTCACATTTGTACTGGCTGCAGCCAGGAGCTGCACACTGGTGAAATATGACGTGAGTGGTTGCTAAATGGCAGCACTTGAAATAGCCTACCTGCCATCCTGCTCTTCCACTTGCTGATACGATCACGACCGCATCGGAAGCATTTCAGCACCAACACGCTTTGGACAGCTCCTCTGTTTTCTCTTTTCCTCCAGGACGTACACATCTGCAGGATAAAGTGGAACTTGAAAGACACAACATTTCATTTAAGTTGCATTTTTTATAATTTAGGAGATGGATATTAATCGACCAGCAAATGTGTCCTTTTTTGATTTCGTTGGAGGAGTCCAACTTCTCCAGGGGGAGGAGACCAGGACAGCCATGCCTGTTGTCCTCATCGGGATCTGCGTGTCCGGAGCAGTTGGGAATTTGCTCGTTTTGCTGATTTTGATCCGTGACTTTAGAAACAAAAGGGGCTCCGAGGTGAAAGTCCTCCTCTCATCTCTGGCCTCCTTGGACTTGGCGATCCTGCTGCTGTGCGCTCCTGTGCGCGCGGTCACTTACTACAAGCAGACCTGGACCCTGGGCAGCTTCGTGTGCAGCACCACGGACTGGTTCCAGCACTCGTGTGTGGTTGCAAAAACTTTACTCCTTGCAGTCACAACAAGAGCCAAACACACTTTGGTACCCAGTCCCAACACGGGGCCCCCGAACATCCCGACGTGGATCCATGGAGCCGTGGCGTTTATCTGCGTCGTGTCCATGATGTTTCCAATTCCCCAGATGCTTTTCGCCTCTCTGGTGCCTCATGCCCGAGACACTATTTGCGTCTCCAAAATGCCAGCGTGTGCAGCCGACTTCATGAGTTTGTTCTACAAGATTTATCCAACTGCATGCTATGTGGTGCCGGTCATCTTCACCATTGCCTACTACACCAAAGCTCTGCACACCGCGGTGAACCACGCACCCAGCCCGCAGCACCAGAGCAAAGTCACCCTTGTTTTGTTGTGTCTCAGTGGAGCTTTGGGGCTCATGCTGCTGCCAGAGTGGGGCACGTTCACCTGGATCAGGCTAGGGTACAACAAGCCTCCCGTGGGTTTGATCATCTTTGCGCAAGTCATGGTTTACGCTTGCAGCGCCTTCTCTCCGGTGATCCTAATGACCATGTACGACGACGTGCGCCAAGGACTGATCCAGATCTGTTTCATCGCGTCCTGCAGAGGGTCGAAGCCGCTTCCCAGCAACAAGTGTCAAAAAACGGAGGGAAACGGAGCAGAAGTGGGGGCCAACTCCGTGGAAAACGCAATCGCACAGGAGGGGGAGAAGACCATCCCAGATGTGGAGCACTTTTGGACAGGGCGCAGGAATACGCACGTCGAGGTTGAGCAGGATCCGGTTCCATGGGAGAGAGAAGAGAAAATGTTGTAGAGAATCAGATGTGAAAAGTGTTTTTTACTCGGCTTGTTTCTAGTGTGTTGACCCACAGTGCATACCCTCGTTGAACAGCTGTTTGTATGTTGTTATTAGATGTAAAATAAAGTATTTCAGTGTGTTTCTCTTTTGAATATCTGTCTGCAGTTTAAAACAACTTTATTAGAGGAGCTTTGTACAAACCAATGTAAACATTCAGGACATTATGTCATATTTTGTTGTGATTGTGTACATGGATAATAAAACATTCTCAAATATGGACTGCTCTGTTTTTTATTTTTTTGATCAAAGCTACAATCACTCAGCCTACTTTAATCACGGATAAAATACAACTCGACCATAAAATCTCTCCATTTAATTGTTATGAGATGACATGCAGAGATCATTTCTCCATATTAAAAATCAGTACTAATCCAGCTGCATGTTTTAGGTCATGTCAGTGAAAGCAGCATTTTGGCAGATTAAGCAGTGGTGTAAACACTGGTCAATGTGTTTCTTTATTTTTCCTCATTTAGCATGAAGAAGTAGGCATACAAGTGCATTCTGCAGTATTTATTTCATAGTCATACATTTTAAAACATATTCACAATGCATAATGGTGAACGAAGTACTCAGAACTCTACAGTACAGTGTATCATGTTCTTAAAGTTAAAGCAATGCATTTAATCAACATAATATACCAAAAGTGATCAACTTCAAGTGACTAGTAAACAGTTGTTTAACACATGTTATGGAGTAAAACATACAAAATGTGTCTTTAAATAGACTTATCAGTTTTTTTCTAAGTATTAATAAATATTGACAGATACTGTACATCAAATATTTACTTAGTGCTAAGTAAAAAAATTCTTCTGAGGGTAAACATGCACTATTAAAAACTTTAAAATGCCCTTATCTGCTTATAACTATATTATAATGTGCAACAAACACTTTTTTATTTTATGGATTAATGTATAGGTAAAATCAGTTAAATGTTTATGGGTGAAAATACATTAAGAAACACTTTAAAGGTGCTCATATCTGCTTATAACAGTTTTGTAATGTGTTAAGCACATTGTTTACATAGTGCTTATAGATATTAGAACGATTGGAGTAAAATATTCCTATAATGTCACATTGCTTATATTCAACTATTAAGGCAGATAGATAAGTACACATTAAGTGATAAAGTTATCAGAGGCATCATTAAAGCATTTATGTGACAACTCAAGCGTGTAGTTTGAGTTACCTCTGCAGTAAATTCACATTTTACACATTTGAGACAAGAATCCAGACACCGTTAGATACTTGAATCTTAATGTTTGTGGTGCTACAGTATGATGTACAGAGGATGGTCAGCTGCCCATCTCCCCCTCACGTGACCTGCGTTAACAGACTAACCTTTGGGCGTTGGTTAAAAATAGAAAAGGAAAGGAAAACCTGCTTTTAGTCGTCTGTGTGTATCCAGTAAAAGCAGCGGCCGCCCGTGGCTCCAACTCCGCGGCAGATTTGACATTTTAGTCTGCCTGAGTGAAAAGAAAGGTTACAGGTCGAGTAAAAATTGAAAACCCCTCTTCATCATGCTTGTGCTCCGGCACATCATTTATTCAATAGACCGTGTCTCCAAAAGTCTGCCCTTGGGTCACTTGGTGTGATGCCCCTGTGGGTTCATCTTTTTTTTTATTTCTTTTTTTTATTATTCACACTTTTTATAGAGCTTTATATAAAACTACACTGAATACCAGACATCACAGTCACAGCAGCATTGAAGTACAACAAGTAGATGATTAGCTTTTGTACCAGACTTTGTAGATTGGTTTTAAGAGCAATTATATAGCAAAGTCTTTATTGTATGTTGACCTTAATATTTATAAATTCAGTTTACAATTTCTGTATGTAAAAACAGTGTCATTTGTTCAAGTGAACACTCACATATGATATTTAAAGATGTGGTGGTCTGCTTTGTCCTTATGTTTTCATTTTTTAAATATTTGTATCCTTATTATTGTTCTATTTTAATTTGTTCAATATTTTTATTCTCTTAATTTTTTATTTTTTTTTCTTTCTGGAAGGTTTGTGTATAGACAAAATGAACATTGAGTTTGACATGTTTACATGCTTTAGTGTTCAAAAAGTGCTTTATTTTTAAACGAGAGCCCAGTCTGCTCTGATTGGTTAAGTGTTATGATTGATCAACCGCTTACAGATGTCCCGCCCTTAAGCCTGTTATGCAAAACACGACGAAGCGCTAGCCAAAGGCGTGATTGTTACGCAGTCATGTCACTATGTTACAGAAGTAAACAACTGAGGCGTTTCAGGCAAGGGGGGGAGTGTGTGTGAGAGAAACTCCCTCTGGAGGGAACTTCGGGATTTTAGCATTTGCAGACCATTTATATGCACAAAAGCCTATATAACACACAAAAAGCATAATAGGGCCCCTTTAATATAAGCCTCAATATGCACATTCTATGCCTACCAATGTGCATGATTTAACTTCATGATAACATTGGTGAGATTTAAATAAGAATGCAGGCCCAATTCTATGATGAAAGAATGAAATTAATTGGTGTTTACTGTTCTCCCCATTCTGTTTGCTGCCTTAACTGGGTTAGAACCCCAATGGTGATTTGACCTTTGACTCGATGGTGTTAGATCATGTGTGAGCAATACACGACTCAGATCACAGACACAGCACTTTACGGACAACCGCCATGCACTCAGCGGAGAGTCAGGGTCGAGGTCAGGGCACTTTGTCATAACCCACAGCGATATGACACAAATATCATCAATTCTTCCTCCTTCATGTTACTAAGAGATACTATTTGCAACAATCTCATTAGAAGTTAAATGTTCTCAGATATACAGTAAGTGGTAATTTCCATCATCAAAGAAGCCATAATGAATCCTGTTATGTAATGATACTGTATGTAAGCAGCAACAATGCCTGGTTCACTTGGCTATCTAAACATAATAGAAATTGAACTGCCTTCAGGGGATGAGGTCTATACGGTCCCATTTCTGCTTTACATAGCTCCCTTAAGTGTGCTTGTAAAAAATATACCAATGAAAGCCATTTCATGCATCATTCATGCAGACAGTGAGCTCCTTCATATGTGGGTCAAAGGTCATCCGTCTCTGCTGAAGGCTGAACTCATCAGCTTTAACCAAGAGCTGAACTCATATTAAATGAAGAAGCAGTCAGGTTTGATCAGCAAAAGGAAGAGAATAACAAGAAGGTAGGATTAAGTAGCAGATGTCACTTTATGTATACTTCAAAAGGAAATATTGTACATTTTTGCACAGTTTTTTGACAGCTTTAGCTACATTAAAAATAACCTATATTGAAAATCCTATTTAAAGGGCTCTATTATGATTTTGGGAGTTTTCACTTTATTGTATAGGGTTAGGGTTTTTGTGCATGTAAATGATCCTCAAAGGCTAAAAAGTTCCCTCCAGAGGTATAGTTTCTCTCCCACACACTCCCCCACTGCCCGAAACGCCTCCATTGGACTCCTTTGTTCACTTCCATGACATAATGACATCATAAATGTGAAGAGGTTCAGCTTTTCTTTTTCACAACTTTCATGGTTTTGATTCCTTTGATAATTGTGTACTTTTGGTCGGAAAACAACAACATTGTTAAGGTGTGACTTTGGGTAATTATGACAGCATTTCTTACTGTTTTCTGAATTATTACAAACCACATCTAAATCCATATCATATAGTTAATAGATCAAAATGAGCTTTTACACTAATACATGAGCAAAAATAATGTAATGATAAAATATGTAATAGCTTAACAGTCACAGAGAACTCTTTTCTGCATTCATAATTCCATTTGTAATACATGAAATACCACTAAAGCTGAGTGGAAAGATCTGTGCAGTCCTGTGCTGCATTACATTCTTGTTATGAACACATTTGTGAGCAGAGCGCTGTAGTTGTAAAGCTAAAGTCTTCTGACAAGAGACCAGTCCTGCTCTTTTATTGAGACGTAGATGATGTTATTGTTCCCCACTCGACCGTGATGGATTGTTGATGTTGCCCTCAGGCTCTCGCTGTGGCTTTATCCGAGTGCTTCATCTTGCAAAAGAAGCAATGCCCTGCAAGATGGGATGAAAGGTTTGACTTGATTCAAACCAAGACTCACTAGTTTTAGCTTTCTCTGAGCTGCATGTTACAAACACTCCGATGTATAGACTGCAGTGCTTTGATCAAATATCTTTAGAATTGTTTTCATAAAAAAACCTTTTTTTCTCGCACACTGTGGAAAAAGTCCTGTGGCACTGAGATGCTTTACACAGTTTAGTTGGTCATATGTCATATTGAAGACAATACAGTTACTTTTAAAAGACAAACATAAATAACAAGTGGTCATTCAGGCATTACGTATTAAGGGTTATTATCTTGTTTTGACATGCAGCAATCTTTATTTGGCAAAAATGGAAAATAACCATCATTTAAAGTTCAATATTCAAATGCATCCCAAATGATTTAAATATTTTACTCGTATGGATTTATTGTTTTGGTGCTTGAAATTGTCATCTGTTTGACTGTGTTTCTATACACCGATTGAATGTATATGTATAGGTGTGTATTCATGGACACATATGTGTATTGTATGTGTATGTTGATATGTATGCATATGTACATGTGTAGACATTTTCCATTTCAAACAACCCCTGTGTACTTTTTCGTTTTTATTTTATTTTGACTAATTTTGTTTGCCATTTCATTTGTCATTTTCGGGTCTCTAAAAATATATGATTTGAAAAACTGTACTTTTAATATAATGTGACCCCAAATAAATAAAGAATAAAAAAAAATAAAAAAATTGGTTATCTAAGGTCATGAGAGTAGTATATTTATATATTAAAAAGTGAAAAAGAAATGTAACATTTGTAATTCTGTTATGTTTTTTAAGTAAAAGTGGTATCTGTAAGTCTACTCATACCCTAGAAGAATACAAATGGGACTCATTTATATCTTCGTTCTAGATACATCCAGCTTCTCTGCGTAATACAGATATGGTTTAAATGTCTGAGTTGCAGTGAGTACACATACTCTAATCTCGGAAGAAATTGAGTAGTAAAGTAGGAAAGAGCACCACCTACATGCAGTGACCAACAAATGCATGACAGTTTGTCACAGGCAAATTCCACCCACAATGTTTGATTGACAGGTGCAGTGCAAAGCAACCAAAATAATCCAATTTAAAAATGGCAATTTTTTTACGAGACATTTTGGCAGAAGTGGCTTTACTTTAACATGAATAATGCAAACATAATATTACATCTTTACAGACATTAAAAGAGCATTTAATCATGAAATACCTCTACATTCAAGCAGTGCACTTACATGTATTCAATCCCTGTAACTAACCTGCTATATAATGAACGAACATCCGTCCTTATGTCATTATCCCTGCCATAATCCTTCAGTAATTCAGATTACTGGGATCCTGTTCATGTTAACTCACTTCTGGCATCACCACGATAAGAAACCTTGAGAATAAGACGGCAATTAAAACTAATTATGTGTTTCTTCTGGACCAATGATACAATAGTTGGGATTTTTTTAACAATATATTTACCCTAGACAGTTTTGTGTGTAGTGTAATTGTTTTTTCTTCCATAAATAGATTAAATTGTAGGATTATTGTCATACAAAAGACAAATCTTCTTTTAATATCATTGAAGGTATTTTTTTTTGTATTCAGCAGATCTGACAGGGAAGGACGACAGACCTGAATGTTGCCTCACATATTGTTATAGGGAGAGATATACATAAATAATGTATTTGGAGCCTAAAAGTGTACAGACCTTCTTTGGGTAATAAAAAGGGGGTTAATAATAATGATATTTGTTTAAAAAAAGGTCTTTAAAGAAATGAATTATGGATAAATGGTGAGAGCAGGTATACTTAAAAATAAAAAATAAATGTATAAATAAATAAATATTGCCACTGCAATGCTCATCGTTGTCTGTATAGATGAGTAATGATTAAATGTGGATTACTTAAATTCTGTGCTGCGTACTCCATTTATTTAACATTGATTTAGTCCTCACCATCAAGTAACTGGTGCTCCTCTTAAAGGTGGGGTAGGTAAGTTTGAGAAACCGGCTCGAGATACACTTTTTGTTATATTCCATGGAATGCTCTTAACATCCCGATAGCAATGAATATCTTAAGTGCTTTGACAAAAAATCCATAAAAAAATGTCATCTGTGGAAGCTGTAATACTGTAAAAAGTACGACCAATCATTTTAGCCGGCCCGGCTAAAATAACTGGATGGCCTACCTGCCTGTCAGCCTTCCATCTGTGCACAAACTTATCTCGTGCCCTCATTGGTCATGTGCGCGTTCGTGTGTGTTGGAGGAGGGGCTCTATAAGGAAGTGGCAGATTTTCTCCGGTTGTGTATTTTCAAATTCTAGCGATCTCGAGCTGGTTTCTCAAATTTACCTACCCTACCTTTAATGTAGCTTATTGTGTATCATGTTTTATGTAGATGTGGTTACTGTATCAATTTAATAGCAGATATAGCACAAGACATATTTCAACATTTTGCACGCAAAAAGCTTGGCAAAGCATGTTATATGCTATATTAACATTTCACCACTGCCTGCTTTAATGCACCTGGATTGCCTGTTGTTGAATACCAGCTTTATTACAATTTTGAAATACAAATGAACTGGTCCTATTTTTCCATGCTGGAATAAACGTGTGTGTGTGTGTGTGTGTGTGTGTGTGTGTGTGTGTGTGTGTGTGTGTGTGTGTGTGTGTGTGTGTGGTGTGTGTGTGTGTGTGTGTGTGTGTGTGTGTGTGTGTGTGTGTGTGTGTGTGTGTGTGTGTGTGTGTGTGTGTGTGTGTGTGTGTGTGTGTGTGTGTCAAAGTCAGATAAACCAGAAATCCAGATCCACTCCAATTCTGCAGACATTCCACACACAGCTCAGCAAAAATCAAGATTAAGCACGCCCCGCCTTCTTTACAGTTTGACCTCAATCCTATTGGTCCATTCTTTGATCGACGGTGCTGTTGTCCAATAGGAATCGAGAACGGGGAGTTCGAAGGTAACCTCTGCGCAGCGCCTCTGCGCAGATGTGTGTGAACGATACAACAACGCAGCTTTTATTGTGAGAGCAGGAATAGCTTTTGCGAGGGAGTCACATACTGCCGAGGCACCACAACTCGAAAGGTGAGCACTTTATTACGATTAATTAAACTGAATGTAATGTGTTTCCCGTATACCATTGTCTCATCCGCTGCGCCCCGCCAACGGAGCCCCGCACCAAATTGCAACTAATCTATCTACTGTCATTTTTAACATTGAACATGTGCTCTTTTAAATAAACGAATAATTTTAAGTTATGAGTTTAGTGTTTTTTACCCTAAGAAACACCGATGTATCAATCAATAACAATAATCCACAGCTCCTCTCTCTGCTCCAGAGGATTTAAAACATTTTTTAAAATATCCCTCGATCTTGCATAGTCATTTGTTCTACTCCAAAACTTGCTCGATGGGTTATTTCCTCATGCCAATATGTAGATCTAAATATATCTGCTCTCACTTCTTGTCACTCTTGTTTGCTTGTCCCTACTTGCAAGCTTTCTCAGACTGCTTCAAATACAAGCAGTAAATGGGACTTTACTGCTATGCATGACATTTGACCCACCGTCTTGGGAAGGCAAAGATACTGCCAAGTAAAGTGACTGTCATGTCCTGCCAGTATAGAGTGGCGAAGTCCCTCCCCTTCCGGTGGACCTCCATGGGACCTTATTTCGGAAAAATTATGTATTGAAGTCAATGGAGAGAGAAAGATTATCTTTCGATCCCGTTTGAATTGTGCCATGAATTACACATATGTTGTTTGTCAATTTAAAAGATAATTTTGCAAGTCAAAAAAAAAAAAATGTGTCGTAAAACTGTGAAGTAACACATTTGTTTGTGTGAAACGCTCAAAGAACTACATCTGATCTCTGGTCAACAACACACGTCGCCAAGATGGCCGTCACTACTGTCTTGTCAACACAAGAGACTACCCTCACTATCACTACAATGAAACACGTCCTGAAGAATGTCATGCAAAGCTGCCTGCCTTCCTTCCTTTGATTCTCTCTGAACTGCCTGGTCGTTTTAATGTTTAATGTCAACCATTTGTGCAGATAGCATGAAGTAGAGAAGATCGCTAGCGTTAGCGTTAGCATTTCTCCCCCGGGCTTAAATTGTGTATTATAGAATGATCACACCGGTGACAGTACTATTCAAAGGGTTCACGAAATATGACTACTACTCTTACTGTTTAACATTTTGGGTTACTTAATGTTACTTCATGTTAAGGCTAATAAAAATGACAAGGCTGTAATGCTAACTAACGTGCTAGCTACTAGCTAGGTAGCTAACTTGATCCACACACTCCTCTTTCATCAGACGGGAAGCGAAAGAACGAGCAAGACCCATTGCTGGTATAATAACAACCTGGTACTAAGCACACAGGCACAAAGTTATCTTATCTTAGCCAGCGCCATATAGATAGATTCTATCTATATGGCGCTGATCGTATATATACGGTATTATACGTGTATCGTAGTGTCTCAATTGTGACATCACTTACGCGACTCTGGGATTTGTAGTCTTTCTAGTTTCGTATTTTTCAAAGTCTTATATTTCAACAGTTTTAAGACAAACTGTGACTTTTTTGACATGGAAATGATTTTTTAAGATTGACAAACATCATATGTGTAATTCATGGCACAATTCAAACGGGATCGAAAGATAAGTTTTCTCTCCCCATTGACTTCAATGCATAATTTTTCCGAAATAAGGTCCCATACCCCGGAAGTAAGTGGGAGGGACTTCGCCACTCTATGGTTAGGGGCCTGTGCAACTTCTTACAGTAGTACTGCAGACAGCTGCAACCTTGAGTATAGGAGCGCTGTCCTCCCATTGAAACGAAACACGAAAGGAAGCAGAGTTTTTATTTCTTATGTTTCTCGTAAACTGTAAGGGAATTTTAATGTTTACCAATAATGCTGCAGGGTGGCTGATCTCCACTGTCACTTTCGGTTTCATCGAGTAAAAACCAAGCGGCAAACTCTGGGGAAGAGCCGGGACGCCAATACGGAAGTGCCACAAACTGCAGTTCATATATTGGCCGATAGGCGATGACTGCAGAAAGGAGCAATTTCCATAGACCCCCATGTTAAAATGCCCAATTTCACAGCAGAAAAAAAACGTTTCTAGCCCTGGATGCAATAAATATTATTATGTATATAGTTAGATTCCACCTTCATGATTATGAATCTGTGAGTGAATTGTTTTCTAACATGACTCTTTTATTTATATTAGGTCTTAACGTTTTTGCATAAATTAGGGCGTGGTCACATTGAGTGACAGCTCTGTCAAGTGACTGCTGCTGTTAGCTTCTTGTCTCTCTGCTAGCTGCTCCGTCCGTGAAGCTACAGGGACTCTGCCTTCTCAGTTCATCCAGGGAACACAACTTGACCCCGGCCGTGTTTGTTTGTTCTTCATGCTTATATAACGGACTATTGTGACTCGCTCTGCGGTTAAAACAGACGGTGCATGAATGCCGTTTTGCGGTAAGTGAAATTCGAGTACTTTATTTATGTGTTTATGATTTCAATCAGCTACGTAATGAATGTTAAGGCTTGGGTTAGCGTGTAAGCGAGTGGTAGCTACATCGGTGCTAACGATGCTAATCTAAGCCTCCAAGTTAACTTAAAACCATAGACTGTATATATATAAAGGTTAAAACGAAATAGACAAGTGTTAAGCGGGATAATACTGTAGAACAAAAGGCTTCTGTTTGAGGTTGATAAAATAAGGTCATCCTTGTAACTTAGAGAGATATTTTATTATGTAGGTAGGAACTGTATGCATCGCTAAGGTTAATTTAAATTGGCTATGCTCAAGTATGTAGACAAGCTAACGTCGAAGTAGTGTATGTGAAATCAACCTCACAATAAGATGTGTGTATATTACAATTATTAATGTCATATTTCAAGATGATTACTTAGATATTACAATATGGTTGGTTGAGCTGGAGTTCATTATTGAGCTTACACGTTAACATCACAGTCATCTGAAGAACGAACCCAAACCTTGTTGTTTTTATTAATTGCATTACCAAATTGGTATCAAATAAACAGTAAGCATTGGTAACACAACTTCCAAAGTTACAGTAAAATAAAAAGGACCCTGACACGGACAATACACAATCCAACATGTTCAACAGAAGATAATAAGTTATATTGTTTGTACACATGGTTCTTTACATATATATCTGTTTGTTTAAAGTGTCCAGGTGATGCAGACAGGCTGGACCAGAGAGTGAGAGACAGAACTGGACTCCTCACAGCAGTGAACTTCAGCACAGGTACAAATACTCTTTTTTCATACTGTACAAAGAATCAAGAAAGATATTGGTTTAAATAAATGAAGTATTGACTTTAATACACTGCTATACATTCCATTAAACAATACTAAATACTAGATCACCTACACATCAGTTAAGTTGAGGGCTTTTTCCATGCAAAAAGTTACATTTAGATGTTAACAAGCAATATGACTTTGTCAGCTTTCTAATTTAATGTATTGAAGGCAAAGATATTTAACGCATAGTGACAACTGCTATTTATCTCTCAATATTGTCTGTAAAAACGTGGTAGAAGTTATTCTTTCAGTGAGACAACAGAGCAAGCTTGTTTTAATAACAGTTAAATATTATTTTGATAATAAAATACATTTCAATGTTGATGAATTTCATACTGTTCATTCATAATCTGATTGTCTTTGTAGCTCACTGTTGAAATAAAAAAAAACATTACAATTACAAAATAATTATATCTACAGCCCCTAAACACAAACACACCTCTTTCATAAATAACACACTTGTTCTGCAATAATATGTTTTATGTTTCCTGTAATTTTTGTTAGGAAAGGACATGCCTGAAAGACACGACTCAACATCTCCTCTTTCTCCGAGGGTCAAGAAAAACATCCAATAGGAAAATTAAAAGCTGATGTTATGAGATGTTAAGACCAGTACAGGACATTCACTAAGAAACTATTTTTATTGTGAAAACACAGTCAGCTGATCGAATGCACCTATTTCCACATCTACACTCCATCAGCTGATTATTTCTATTTGCCTCACTTCATGAGCTTCACAACGTGTACCTTGTACCGCAGAGTTTGCAACGCAAATAAATGGGGCCAATCTTCAGTCGGATGTGAATGTGTAATCTAACATTTTCAGTAAGAATAATGGACAAAAGGAGTGCAAATACAATTTCAATTTATTGAAATGTGAACCAAAAGTTAATCAAACATGTTTTAAATAAAAAGCACATATACATTTAATAGGTTTACACCTTCTGTCCATAAGTAAACACATTTAGTCAAATAAAGTGACAGACTAGGCCTGATCAGGTGGTATCAGCTATGCATGGGCTCCTCCATCAGGTCTGGTCCTCCTCACAGAGGAAAGACCCTCAGTCCTCTCCGGCCAAACCAACAGACAGGACGTCCATCACACGGAGGTTTCTCTCTGAAGTCTCTGCAGCTCTCTGGACACCACGCTGTCTCAATCCGTCCACACTGAATATGAGAGGGGAAAAATGAAAATAATAAATGCTTTAGACCAGCGGTTTTCAAAGTGTGAGGCGCGCCTCCCCTGGGGGGCGCCAGAGAGCTTCAGGGGAGGCGCAGCGTGAGAAAAAATAATAACGAGAAAAAGACGAGTAAAGTGACATTTGCACACTTTTGCCTGTCTGTGGAGACCGAGTTCCCCCACCTCGCCAAAAAGGCTGTTAAAGTGCTCACTCCCTTCACCTCCACCTACCTGTGTGAGTGCGGGTTTTCCGCATTGACTCTGATCAAAGGAAGTGCCGGTCAAGGCTGCAGCCAGAGGATGATCTGCGTTTATTCCTGTGTGCATCAAAGACGCAGACTCATTGTTCCCACTAAAGTAGGGGTGAGTGTAATAAGGAGATAAAGTTGACGTTCAGTGTGTTGCCGGGAGCATATAAGGATGTATCCACGATGTTGAAAATGTTAAAAATGTTTAAAAGATATGTGTTGAGAACACGGCGTGCGAAAATATACGGGTCGTGCTGCAGCTAGATGTGCCTGTCCTCTGTAAGAAGGTGTCGGCGACTGACATGCAAGGAAGAACGGCTGTCCACAGGCTGTTCCAACTTTAACAACTTTATTAACTTCCAGGGTAGTGAATTGAACATGCTATTGTAATTGGGTGTGTGGTATATTTTCATGCACGGACACGCATGTTCCACAACACACAAACTGAACAACACTCAATTGTACGATCGCTACCAGTGTCCTTGCGATCTTGTTATAACAAGTCAACAAGTGCACGTTATTACTGATGCAATATGGTTGAGACCATTCGGGCTTATTCTAGAGGGGTGCAAGGAATAGTCCAAGTAGTGGAGGAGTTTTATACAATATGTTTAAAACATAAAGATAAAAAGGTTTTAAAAAGTGATTGTTTAATGTTTTAAGGAGGTGACGCTACTCAGCCAATCAAATCGGTGCAGTCAGTGAGTCAGCACAATAGATTCAAACACTCACAGAGACGAGACAAGAGGAGAGAAACAGTCGGAATAATTTCAAATGGCGGAAGGTAGACAGCGAAAACAGAGCATTTAATGACATGTTCTCTTACTGGACCTCTTTGAAATGCAATGTAATAACAACAATAATAATAATAGCAATAATAATTGGGAGGGGGGGCGCGGCTGTTCATATGTTCTCTGAGGGGAGGCTCACCTTCCCACACTTTGAAAACCCCTGCTTTAGACAATAAGAAATATAAAGTTGACTGTTGAGTTGCTCAGTTTTTTTAGATTGTCAATACTATTACTGTATAACTAATATCTCAGGTTAAGAGGCATCTTCAAATAAAGATTGGTCTTTAAATACATTTTGTCTTTTGAATTGTTTGTCTAAAGTCAAGGATCTAGAACTGGTACTTAGTTTTAATGATACAGTCTGGTTATAATGCTGTTTTGGAGGAGGCCTCACAGGTAAGAGCACTAACTAGCTATCATCACATGTACCTTAGCTTAACTTAAATGTATTAAACGTATAATTAAGTGATGGCAAAATATAAATAACTAATGTCATGCAAACATTAATATTTGCTTGATTCCAGTGTTTAATTTAGCACAATTGCATACAAACGTTAAGGGATTTTAAGATTCTGAAGTATTATGCTAAAAACTCAACTTAGATTATTATTTATAGTTTTGCTGAATAGTCTCATGTCCGCTTACCTTAGAAACGTAAAATGCGACGGCAGTGTGCAGATGGGGAGCATGTTAGCTTAGCTTGGTAGCTTCAGCTAGCTCTGGAACTTCCAGCCCGGTGGCAGCAGGTCCCGCCTCGGCTCCGCCTCTTTGCCCTTATTTGGAGCAGGCGGGAGTGGAACTCTGACGCCACTGTCGAGCCGTTAGTGGCCGACTCCGCCTACTAAGGGCTTCTCGGCAACTCTGCAGAATCCTATGGGTGACGTCACGGACCCTACGTCCATTTATATATACAGTCTATGGTAAAAACCCTGTAAGTGTGGTTGTAATCATTGCAGACAAAAAAGATTTCCTAAGACTTTTTTTGGATACTTTCACATCTCGCATGTCATAAATATGCCTTGCCAACTGAAGAAGTACAACTTAGCGAAATTGCATTGTAAACAAAGGACGTGGGAATTTAGAGCAGGAACAAATATGGAAGTTGAAGTCTTTACTATCTCTTTGTCTTTTTTTCTATTTTCTAATTTCACAGATGTCATTTGCCAGTGACAAGCTGTACAATGGGTATCTGCGGCGGGAAATGCCGACCATTGTGCGCAGGGTGCAAGTGAGAGAAATAATGAGCCACCTGCCTTGCTTGACTTCTCACGACAGGGTACGTTTTAACAGGAAGAAGGGCCTGACACTAGAGCTGGGGGGATCAAATCTCCCAAAATTGTTGTCAAATGTTTTTGACAAAACCCCCTAATTAGCATTGACAAGGATGTTTACATTTGTTTATTGTAGGTTGGGAGATTGACAGTTTAACAATACAGTTAATTATCATTGATGACAGAAACAGTTGTTTGTGAATAATAAACTCCACTAAAAATCATCAGTATTTCACCAACAAGAAGCTGAGGAATTGATGTATGTGTTTTTTTTTATATAATCTAAATTATAGGAAAACATTGAGGCAAAAAGAGAGGTTTGTGGGAACTATGACGGCATGGTGCTTCTGCTGGACTGTCTGAAGAGAAGAGAAAACTGGCCCGAGCAGTTAATCGAAGCACTCGAGGCGTGTGAGCATCCATTTTTAGCAGCTGGGCTTAGAACAGCATACGACACTCTGCGAGGCACCAACAGTAAGTCTTTAAGTCAAGTACCTAGAACTGTGTATTAATGTGTGGAGTTATGCAATTATCTACGAGAAGTTGTGAGTTCAAAAGATATTACTACAGCCAAGGGGCATCGTTAAGCATTAGATGTACCGTATATCTTATACAGCCAATACAGTAAATCTTACACTGAGAATTCAAGAGGTTTATTTCAGTCCTACACAACTTTCTCACGACACAGAGTTATCTCTGATGGTCGCTGTTTTGCTTCAACTGTAAAAAGAGTGTATAAAGCTGTGAACTGTCCATGCAGGGGCCAGAAATGTGCAGGATAGATGTGTATCAATGCAACACACAGTGTCTATAATAAGAGTATGTCATTGAGTGTCAAGGGCTATGATATTGTCTATTTGAAAAAGGATTCAAAATGGATTTGATGATGTCATAATTTGCTTTAGCACCAGCTCCTGCAGAGCCACTTGCCCAGGCCTCACCCTCTCTGGAAATCCCTGTGCAGCCACAAGCCCCCCCGAGTGCAGAAGCCAAAGTTCCTGAGGTGGTTTCCCCTCCACAGCCAACTCAGGGTGAAGTGGAACCCCCTCCATCAACTCCTCCTCCTGAGAGCAACTCTCACCAGGAGCCGGTGGAAAACTGTGAATCCGACATCGAGGATGTCTCCGGTGATGATGCTGCGATCCCCGATCAGGTGAGCGCAGGAAACAGTGAGGTTTTGATCGACACTGTGGCCCCTCCGCAACCACCCCCCCCTGCTGAGGAGCTGGAAACAGAAACTCCATCCATCCAAGATCCTGTCAAAACAACAACAACCTCCACGGAGATCAGTCCTCCACAGAGTCCCTCTCCATCTCAGATGAACTCGGATGTGACCGATGGATCCTCTTTCCTCACTTTAACTCCAGAGAAGCCTCCGGTCCAGGACACCACTCCCCCTGTGGACATGAAACCTGCTCCTGTCCTGCTGCCTGAAGAGACGTCTGTGCCGCCTGCGACACAGGTGAATACCAAAATAAATGAATTTTGAAAGATTTTTTGAAGTCATAAATACTTTTCACAGAACGTAAATATTATATGTATGACGTGTTTTGTTTATGGAATAAGGTTGCATTCTTTGAGCTTTACTATAAAGGCATCAACCAATCACGTTGTGTAACAGATGTCACGTCAAAACATACACTTATATGTATCTTTATGAGGATTATAAAACCACAACATAAAGTGTCTATAACAACATCAAGGCTGCAAACTTTATTGTTCCTTTCAACATTGAAAAAGGCAGCACATACCAGATCCTTCTGTCCATACCTTTCACAATAAAAGCCCAAGACATATACAGTACACTGCGTAACTGTTTACAAGAGGGGACGTCAGAGCATTTTGCTAAAGGGAATTCCATTTTTATTTTCTGCAGATTTATGTGAACCTTTTATTGAATAAGTGTTGCAATTGTTGCTATTTCCCATTCCTGGCGTAATAAATAGTTGTTATGTTAAATGTTTGCAGAAAAGTATTCATAATGTAAAAATGATTCGTGAAAAGCTACTTTTTGTCAGCAGCATTTTGTATGTAGCATTTTAATACAAATGAGAGGAACTGTATATAAGGCCTTCAATAATTACCTCTGTGGAGCTTATGATGTTGAGTTTTTGTTTAACAGTGAAACAGAGATGGATACATTCATTTAAACTTTGAACATATTGTCTACACAGATTTAAAAAATCAACAACTAAATTGACATGTAATTGTCTCCTGCAGGTTATTGAAAGCAGCCCTCAGACAGAAACTGAAGCTGCCACCTCCCCCCTGCCGGTTGCTGCAGAGACGGACACCTCTATCTGTGATGACAACTCTGTGTGTCTGAGCAAACCTGGCCCACTCCTCAGCATCCACCCACAACAAGATGCTATCCCTGCTATCCCTGAACAAAGAAAACCGGTGCAGCCCTATTCGGGGAGTAGTGAGCGTCTGGAAATCAGCAATGCTGCATCAGAAGCTGTGACCTCTTCCCTCCTCCCCGCATGCTCCACCACTGTGAATACCGCACTGCCATGCCAGGAGAACGGCATCGCTCCTAACCACAGCGAACCGGAGGAAAACCACTACGAGTCTCCCTGTGAGAGTTTGGATATGCAAGTGCTGGAGAATGTCGTGCATATATCCGAGGAGCCGTCTATCCTTGACCTAGACGGCCAAAGCTCAATACCACGAGCTCAAATCATGAATGGTGACGCAGCCAAAGAGATCACCCCTGCATCACCAGTGTCCACCAACACTGGTGATACTGTATTGAGTGTAAACACCCCCTCTGGTGAGAACTGCCTCCTTTCTGAGCCCACACCTGCTGATATCTCCCCCGAGCAGAAGTCGAATAATACTAAGTACATTCTGATGGCTGCAGGAGTGGGCGTCTTTGCCCTGGTGATGGCAAGGTGGAGGTTTAAGAATTAAGTGGATTGAATACATTACATGTTACTTGTTAGACACTTTTATCCAAAGTGACTTACATACTCAATACTGTGGGCAATCCCCACAGGAGCAATTTGGGGTGAAGTGTCTTGCCCAGGGACACAACGACATGCTGACTGCAGTGGTGTTTGAACCTGTGCTCCCCTGATCAAAACACCAACGCACTAGTCCACTGCACCACACGCCTCCTTGTGTATATATAATAATAATTGTTTTTAAAGGAGGAGAAGATTAGGCTTTAAAGGGGACCTGTCATGCAAAATGCACTTTTTTATGTCTTTTATACATCATATGTGTCCCCGGTGTGTCAGGGAACTCACGCAGCGTCAGAAAATGAAACCCTCTCTCTTTTCCTCCATACCCAAATCTCTAAAAACGGGGCTACAACGGAGCTGATCCAGATTTGCGGACCCACAGCCCTATCAGAAACGTTGCTATCAGAAACAATGCACGACTGTTTTGGACGTAATATAGTCGGTGTTTACATTAGCATCGCTAACACTCAGAGCTAACCTGTACTGGAGAGAGCATGTGTGTGAAGAAGCAGGAAATAAAAAGGAACTCACCTCGTGGTATAACCGGCAAGAGAGAAAGCCTTTGAGCTCCATACTGTTTCAGAAATAATCCTTGATAATCCATGATATGGCGTTTCATCACGGCAGTATTTAGTTTAGACAGTAGCTGAGGGTCCCGCATGAGCTCAGCCCCCTCCTTTTTTTTTTTAAATCAATTTTTTATACCCAAAATCAGCACTTTTGAAACAGGAAGTGAAATAGAGGGATATGAGGCATGGCTAGAATGGGTGATCTGTTTCGTATTTTGAGCAAAACACTTCATCGACATGTTTTTTATATATTTTTATTAGGGCTGTCAAGTTAACGCGTTAATAACGCGTTAACGCAAAAAAAAATTAACGGCACTAATTATTTTAACGCGATTAACGCATGTGTATTTTTTGTCCTCGGCCGCCCTGTAGTTTCAGAGCGCATCGAGTTTAAAATACCATCTACAAGCTGATGCTGACAGCCCCGCTCCTGCCGCCCGCTTGTGGCAGACCACACTTCCACGCTCACCACCAGGCCCGGACTGGCCATCGGGAGGACCGGGAGGGTGTGTGTATGTGTGGCGCGACTCGAGCGAGGCACACCTTACGTTTTGTTGTTGTTGTTACCATCTGGTGCTAGCTAGCTGCGCTAACAGATATAAGGGGCTGTTTCAATGAAAACAGAGGAGCAACATTTCGCCGACAACTGCGCCGAGCACTTGACTTTATGCAGGTAGCCAGACAGTGGGACATTGTACGAAAAGTCAGCACACTCACCACGGATAGTGCGCGCAACATGATTGCAGCGTCCAGGCAGCTCCCGTTCGAGCATATATGCCTTGAGCTGCACATAGCTCCAACGATCCATCACAGTGTCTCCACATTCTCACACACACACACACACACACACACACACACACACACACACACTTTGTATTGTATTATTGTATGAGAAAGGTTCCAGGTTGAATTGAGGCGAATATTTATAATGTTCAGAGGTTGTTGTGTTTAATATTCATGAGAATATTTGTCATTGTTCAAATGATAATAAACAAACATATAAAGCATATTTGTCCACTCATATGTTGATAAGAGTATTACAAACTTGAAAAATATCCCTCTAAGATACATTTAGAACAGATAAAAAATTTGCGATTAATTTGCGATTAATCGCGATTAAAGGTGGGGTAGGTAATTTTGGAGAAACCAGCTCAAGTGCGCTGGAATTTGAAAATACACAGCCGGAAAAAATCTGCCACTTCCTTACAGAGCCCCTCCTCCAACACACACGAACGCGCACATGACCAATGAGGGCACGAGATAATTTTGTGCACAGATGGAAGGCTGACAGGCAGGTAGGCCATCCAGTTATTTTAGCCGGGCCGGCTAAAATGATTGGTCGTGCTTTTTACAGTACTACGGCTTCCACAGATGACATTTTTTTTATGGATTTTTTGTCAAAGCACTTAAGATATTCATTGCTATCGGGATGTTAAGAGCATTCCATGGAATATAACAAAAAGTGTATCTCGAGCCGGTTTCTCAAACTTACCTACCCCACCTTTAACTATGGACAATCATGCGATTAATCGCGATTAAATATTTTAATCGACTGACAGCCCTAATTTTTATATATCTGAGACCTATGCTATTGCCTAAAAATAGCATGATAGGTGACCTTTAAGGCTTTTTAAAAGAGGATCTTAAGGTTATGGTGCCTTATTGTATTCAGTGAACTTGAAGGATGCTAGGCAGCTGTGTAATAATTACTGTAGGAGCCATTTTATGGGTGTTGTTGGTGTCTCAGTTTACTTTATTTATATTTATACTGCAATATTATTTTTGGACACTTGGTGGTGGGGGTTAGCTGCACTGGGTATATAAAAAGGGTCATAGGTGAAAGGACGAGGACACAGGAGGAAGAGAGCATACCGATATCACCAGCCCGGCAGATGCTCACCACAACTATTGACTGTATGATAAACCTTGGTATGTAAAACGCTAAATAAAACATCATTCTAAACTGCAGCAAAAGACCGGAAAATCATCTGTTTGTGTATGCGTCTGGATCACTCTCCAGCCCCCCTGTGAAGTAATGGCAAAGAATATAGGACATTGGAACATTAAAATTGTCATTACCTTTAGTAATAATAGCTGACTAACCAGACCTTTGATCATGTCATTAATTACAAGTATGTTGTTAAATTGGGCCATGTATTATTATTTTACTGTTGAATGAAGTTTGCCCTAGTAAACAAAAACCAAACATATCCATTTATTTGACATTGATTTAGTCCTCACCATCAAGTAACTGGTGCTCCTTTTAATGTAGTTTATTGTGTATCATGTTTTATATAGAAATGGCTACTGTATCAATTTAATAGCAGATATAGCACAAGACATATTTCAACATTTTGCACGCAAAAAGGTAGGCAAAGCATTTTCTATGCTATACTAACATTTCACCACTGCCTGCTTTAATGCACCTGGATTGTCTGTTGTTGAATACCAGCTTTATTACAATTTTGAAATACAAATTAACTGGTCCTATTTTTTCCATGAAGAAGCAGCACAGTTTGCTCTCTCTCTCTCTCTCTCTCTCTCTCTCTCTCTCTCTCTCTCTCTCCTCTCTCTCTCTCTCTCTCTCTCTCTTCTCCTCTCTCTCCTCCTCATCTCTCATCGCTCCTCCCTCTCACTCCTCTATCGCTCTCTCTCATCTTCTCTCTCTCGTGTGTGTGTGTGTGAAAGGATTAGGATCAGGGATTAAAGACAGATGTAA